TGATATATGTATATCACATATATATATATATATATTGCTATAGAAAACCATTTTAATTGAAATCAAATAATACTATAATATTATACAATTAAATTTAAACAACAATTTAAATTGACTTAAATTTTTAAACTCGATTCGGTTTAATTTTTTTAAATAAAACTCGAGTTATAAAATAGTATTTATCATCTCAAATAATTCAATATTTTTTACTCAAACTCGATTTCAACGAAAAAAGTTATAAGGAATGATATAATAGAGATGTGTTGTTTTGCTAGTGTAATTCAATTCACATTACTCTGTTGCTTACACCATGCAAGATAAAGAAAACAGATTGTACATGTTAAGGGCAAAACAAAACGAATTAAATAAAGGAACCACTTGTTCATTGGATGGATATATTAAACAAAATATAATGGTAATAATATACAGTGTGCTTTCCCACTTGCCACTTGACAGTTACCACTGAAGAAAAGGCGACAAGGGGGGATGACTTAAAAGTGGATATTACAAGGAAAGTGAAATAGTGTAGAGATCTAAAGTGTACAAAGGTGGATTTCATATGCCTTTTCACCGCTGCTTATTATATGTGTTGCAGGACCACCACACACCTACGTTGATTTTTTTTAAAATCACCGCCATATGGTTTCAATGATTAAAAAAATGTTATTCTTAGAAATCTTAAGTTTAAAAGTTGTATCTGTAGATGTTTGTGCGTTGCCAATGGTTAAAAAAATTCTAAACAAATAATATATTGTAATCACCCTAGATTATTAAAAAAAACTTTATTTTATTAAAAATTGTAAAATATGAGTAAGTATTTTTGATCGGTTGGTCAAGCTACTCATATTTGTTCTCTCATATTCCCTTAGTTTATGAGTTCTAGATCTATTAGAAGTACTCTCTTTTCCTCCCCTAAAGTCTCCCTTCTTTTCCCATTCCCTCTACGTAGGATTAAAATTAGGATTAGATTTAGAATTTGTAAAAAAAATAGATAAATATATAATATAATTTCATTAGCATGTATATATATATATATTTGTTATAAATTTTATTAAAAATGGATATATTTTCATATTTCAACTCTTATATCCTTAATCTTTCACCTCCGAATAATTAATTAATTATCCTTTCATGACTACAATTCTAGTACTATAAACAGTGACTTTGTAAAGCTCATAATAATTGGAAAGCAATACCATCTCTCTCAAATTGTTATTTATTTTTATTTAATTAATTTCTCTCTTGTTCTTATTGCAAATTTTATAATTTTATAACACACTATTAGCACGACCCCGCTCAATTTTATTCTTAATTGGTGACGTTCAACAAGGATTTTAATTTGATATTGGTAACTATATCTACTACCTATTCAACTTAGCTTGAAAAGTTTGGCATGTTTCGCTTATTCATCTAATTCTCTATCAAGAGATTGATTCATTAAAATGATAAGTTATGGTATTATCAATCATGACAAGTTATGGTATTATCAATCATGCTGAATATAGATGAAAACCAATCGAGGATAAAGTCATTTATTATTAGACAACATTTGAAATTTGGTGGACGAGTTGGGTACCAATATTTGAGCATCTTTATTGGGGTTTCACATGCATAATATACATATGTTGAAAATAATTATTAGGTCACTTGATGTGAATAAAGATCATTTCTAACCTCTTAAAAATAGATGATCTTCTTGGTATAAAATTATCATATTCAAGTGTCATTGATGCATTAATATATCTTACTAGTCATACACGATTTGAATATCATTTCTTGTAAATTTATTAGCCAAATTTAGCTCATGTCTAATCCGAAGGCATTTGAATGTGGTCAAACATATATATTTTCAAGCTACGAAAGACATGAGATTTTTTTTACTAATTTGTTCAAAACAAATTTAGTTGGTTTTGCATACGTGTGGTACTTATTTGCTCCCCATAATTTTCAAATTAGATAGATTTTCATATATGGTGGTAGTGCAATCCCTAGGCGCTCTATGGAACAAACAAAAAACTGTCACTTCTTCAAAACCATGCTAAAAATTTTAGCTAACTATAAGGCTAGTAGTGAATGACTGTGGTTGAGATATGTAATTCATCATATACATAAAAGTCTGGCTTATGCTCCAGAAAAGGACCTCAAATAATCTTTTATGAACATAATACAACATGCATTGCACAACTTAAAGAATGGTACATAAAAAGTGATAGAACAATATATATCTCACTAAGATTTTTCTTCACTTTTGATTTACAAAAGGATGAAAATATAGATTTCATTATATAATATATACATTAAGTAAAAACTTGACAGATCTATATCTAAGAAGATTTTAACTAGATCCTTCATATTTCACCTTTTTGTTACACTCCCTTTATGACTAGAATTTTAACCCTATAAATAGTGGTAATTGAAAAAAATAATATTATCTCTTTATCTTTCTTTGGTTTCTCTTTTATTCTTATTATAAATTATATAGCTTTATAACAAAATCTTAACCTAATCAACTTGTGATATAATGATAATTAATATAATCTCTTGTTATGATTTTCTACAATCAACTCAAAATCCTTAATCTTTTTAGCCGATATCATATAGGCATATAGGGTCAAAATCATATATATACACACATACATATAATATATAATTATTTGGGATAGGATTAGCTCTACGACTATGGTTTCAAGATGGCAAGTTTCCTATGGACAAGGCATGTGTTTTGAAAATAACCCTAGTTTTTTTATAATGGAAAAGGTCAGCCATTAAAAATAAGTCCCTTCGTATATTTTACTTATTTTATTGAGTATTCGAACAGATGGCTTCAACACAGAAAGTCAGCGATTTGGAAAATCACTGTATATAAACAAATACGTAATTATTAAGGATAATATCTAATATTATAAAACGAAGAAAAGGTAAGTAACTTGATCTCAATATAATTAAGCATAAAATAGTCAAATCCCTTACATTTTGGTAATTGACTTTGACAACTCAACTCTTTCTAGGTTTAGTGCCACGTATCTTGGTACAAGTCGTTGTATGTATGCTGGTTATCATTGTATGTATTCAGCTAAGAGAATTCTGAGAAAAAATATATTAAAAAATGTGAGAAAATGTGTAAAAATACAGCACTGATCTCACTGGAATTTATATCAATTAGTCTTTTATTTCATTCGATTAACATGTCATTAGTGGTATAAGACAAATGTGACCATTCATTGCTCTACATCTAGGCCGCTTAGGACAGCTATTTCATATTTCTTATAATTTTTTAATAACATAAAATTGTATAATAAATATTTATTCATAATCTTTTGATTACTAATTAAAATTAAAGTTGAACAATGATTGAATTACAAAATAAAAAAAAAGTCTAAACTATAATCTTTAATTCGAAAACCCCAAGACTATTATTCTAAACACCCCGAAATCGTAAGGAGAACCCACTGCAACACTGCTATTATAATTATAATTATTTTCATTGTTATACATTTTCATTTTTTTTCTCTAATAATATGATGATACATGTTATTATGTTATTGAAAGATTAAATTTATTAAAATATTTCAAATTAAAAGGAGGATCAAATTGATAAGATTTAAATAATGATGATTTATTTAATTATTTCAAATTAGGATCAAATTGATAGAATTTATTAGGTTTGAGACTAAAATAGTTGATGACCAAAACATAAACACGAGAATATGTGGGGTACCAAATAGATATTTTATCCAAACAATCTAATTTTTTTATTAATATTGGGTGATTATAAGTGGTAGTATATGTTCTAAAGACTCAACTATTTGACGGTGAACGCTCAAATACCCTGCAGTGTACTTAAACTTGAGACCTCTAGGAATAATAACCATTCCTTTAAGTGCTAGATTTATTTTTAAAAATAATTAAAATTTTCAAAAAAATAAAATAAAAAGTATATAATTTTTTTAAAAAAATTTATCCTACAATTAAATGTACGTCATGCACCAACAAAAAAAAGTTAACATCGTCATAGTTTGATCTTATTTTTCTACTTTCGAAGTGTATAATAACTATATTACTCTTTATTTAAAAGGATCAATTTGTTCATTTAAAATTAATAGAAACATAACGAATATTTAAGTTCAATCTAAAATGTTAAAGTCAAATAGACAATTAATTTGATCTAAATGTTAATATTTCTAAAAGTATAAAAATAAAAATAAAATTTTTATGGTAGATATATATATTATAATTCAAAGACTTATATAACTTAATCTCTTTATCCCCTATCTACACTAATGAAATGGATTTTTTTAAAAATGAAAGATTAATAGGGTTATTGTGGCATTAAACCTAAAAAAAGAGCGTAAATTTATGATAGAGAAGGCCAGCCAACACGAAAGAAAAATGAGATTGATTTGAGGAGGCAATATTGTAAACTTACAACTGACCAAATTTGATCATTCAAATAGAGTGTGATTCGAGTATTCAACGAGATTTTTATTGAAAGAAAAATAATAAATGCAAGGCCCATCGGCGAACCGCTAGCATAATACACGACTGTCCCACGCATGCTTGACCAAAACACCACCAAAATGCTTTATTACATTAAACTAAACACTCCCTCTCTTTGCCTGTTTATTGCAATGGGGTCTTCTATCATTAAAAACACAGCTTAGTTTAAACTCTCCTTTTGTCTTGCTCAAGGGACGTTTTCATGTTTTAGATCCCATTTTATTTTAAAATCCCCTTTTTTTATTTGATGTGGTCAAAGTCTCACGCGCTCTTTTTGGCATGACTCTTGGCTTGTGCCGGTTCTGTGTGGGGTAAATATCACTAACCGTTAACTACAATGAGCTGGAGTGAGATTCCGCGTGTGGGGGAGAAGACAACCAAAGCCCCTTCCCATCTCCTTCCTGTCCTTGACCCGACCCGGCCCGGCCCGACCCGACCGGTTACCCCTTTCCCCCACCTGCCTATATATACCCCACGTTGCTTCACTTCTTTTCCTCACCACTCAGCTACTTTTTTCACCATTCAAAAAAAAAAAAAAAAAACCATGGCATTCCAATTCGTGCTTCCCTTATTCGTTTCCCTTCTCTTCGTCTTCCTCTTCTATTGTTTACTTAAATTCTTTAAATCCAACGACCACCACAATTTGCCCCTCCCGCCGGGCACCATGGGTTGGCCGTACATCGGCCAAACCTTCCAGCTCTATTCCCAGAACCCAAATGTCTTCTTTGCTTCCAAGCAGAAGAGGTGGCTTACTCTTTCTCTTCCGGCGACTTCATTTTTAACATATTCTCTTCTGCGTTCATTCTGTAATGTAGTGAATGTTTCGATTTTTTATAGGTTTGGGTCCATTTTCAAGACCCATATACTCGGGTGTCCCTGCGTGATGATTTCCAGCCCCGAAGCGGCTAAATTTGTGCTGGTGACCAAAGCTCATCTCTTTAAGCCGACGTTCCCCGCCAGCAAAGAGAGGATGTTAGGCAAACAAGCCATTTTCTTCAGCCAAGGGCAGTATCATGCCCAATTGAGGAAGCTTGTCCTCCGTGCCTTCATGCCGGAAGCCATCAAAACCATCATCTCCAACATCGAATCCGTCGCCAAAGGCTCTCTCCAGTCTTTGGAAGGGAGGTTGATCACCACTTTCCAAGAAATGAAAACAGTAAGTATTTCTAAAAAAATAATACATAGTCGTCTCCTCTGTTTCGTTTTCCCCTGTTTATCGATATATGGATATCGAATTTTGCAGTACACGTTCAATGTTGCTTTGCTGTCGATATTCGGAGAGGATGAAGTTCTATACAGAGAAGATCTCAAGAGATGCTACTACATTCTAGAGAAAGGGTATAACTCGATGCCGATTAACGTCCCCGGTACACTCTTCCACAAATCGATGAAAGCCAGGAAAGAGCTCGCTCAGATCCTGGCCAAAATCATATCAACCAGAAGGCAAACGAAACATGACTACAATGACTTGTTGGGGTCTTTCATGGGTGATAAACAAGGCCTCACTGATGAACAAATCGCCGACAACATCATCGGTGTAATCTTCGCCGCTCGTGACACCACCGCCAGCGTACTCACATGGATAATTAAGTACCTCGGTGAAAACCCAAGCGTTCTTAAAGCTGTCACGGTAAGATTGTGATAATAATACATGATTGCTCCTACAGTATATCCATTGTATACAGTGATTGACTTGGTTGTATATGTGTATACAGGATGAACAAGAGGCTATAATACGAGAGAAAGAGAAATGCGGCGAGGAGCAAAGCCTGAGCTGGGCCGATACGAAGGCGATGCCGATTACTTCGAGGGTGATTCAGGAGACACTTAGGGTTGCTTCAATTTTATCTTTTACCTTCAGAGAAGCAGTGGAGGATGTTGAATATGAAGGTGAGTTACATGCAGCAGCTACTAGTTGTTAGTGTAGTTTTATTTCATTCATTTTGGTGCTAATAGCCTGACTTGTTTTCTTCAGGGTATCTTATACCAAAAGGATGGAAAGTTTTACCACTTTTTAGAAACATTCATCACAGCCCAGAAATCTTCCCGGATCCTGAAAAGTTTGATCCCTCAAGATTTGAGGTAAACTTTGTTTTTTGTTTTCCTTTTAAAGGTCTACTTACCCTTGGTAGCCGTACATGCAAATGTATTATAGTTGTTGTCAATCAACTAAAGCATACATTGTTGTCAATGATTGAACAGGTTGTTCCAAAACCCAATACATTTATGCCGTTTGGCAATGGAACCCATTCATGTCCGGGGAATGAGTTGGCCAAGCTGGAAATCTTGGTCTTTCTCCATCATCTGACCACAAAGTACAGGTAACTTTAATTTTGTTGAAATCTTTTCCTTTTTTAGTTTCTGGTAAAAAAATGACCATGTTTTCTGACATGAAAATGGGATTTTGCAGGTGGTCTATGGTGGGTACAAATACTGGGATTCAATATGGTCCCTTTGCTCTTCCCCAGAATGGTTTACCACTCAGATTAATCAGAAAATCATAGCCAACGAACTCAGTTTTAGACGTAGTGTGATCAGAGCAGGCTTATTAGATTGGATGATTGTGAAACAAAGAATGCAGAAAATGGAGAAACTCACCCCCAACTGTACAGAAGAGAAGGGTCTCTGCCAGAACCCAACAAGAAAAGAAGAGAAAATTTCTGTTTAATTCTTTTTTTCAACTCATAGAAAAGAAGAACGAAAGGGAGAGTCTTTTGTAATTTTATTAATTTAAATGAAAGTCCGCAAGGCAGAATTAGATTTTACATAATTGGATTAGTGAAATTTTGTTACTTATTATTATTATTATTATTATTACTGGTGTTCATGAAAGGCCAAAGGCATACACTTCATTTCTCTCTCCTCAAAATCAGCCATTAATTAATCTCATAGTTTATGCCTTGAATCAGTGTTTTAATATATTTATTCATAATTTTTTTAATCATTAATAATATGCACGTATATTCTACAAATGTAATTTGTTCGAACCTAAGAACTCGAGGGAGAATAACACTCCCTTTTACCATGAAAGATCACTCAATGGATTGAGGGTTAAACTAGAGAAAGAAAATGAATGGGAACAAGGAATTTGAAATGATTCTTCTACGTGCATGCATTGCATGGACTGGGAACTATAGCAAGACTCATCGAATCTGCACTCAAACTAATGAATTAATTGATGAATTCAAGTATCTCTTCTTTATGTGGTAGCAGAGGAGAAAATTGAGAGGTTCATGTCAAGGGACATATTGCTGCCTGCAAATGCAACTCAACAACTCTCTAATATTTATCATCTGCAAAAAGTACAATGTAATGTTCTAAAAAATCCTCAATTCTGGGTATGCAACTCCTGTAGTTAATTCACAATGACGACTCTTGGGAATGATATAAAGATAGTTAATTTCTGTTGGAAGCTGTATAATGAAGACGATCACTGCACTATGCTTAATTTGCAGAATAATTCCTTGTGGAAGAGCAAGACGAAGCACATTGCTAGTGTCGTTTTCATTTACGAGGGAAATTAATAAACTGCGGGAGAATCTGTAACATCAACTTCTTATATAAAGCTTGCATCGTCTAATTTAAACAAATTTCGAGATAGATTACGAGTTGAGTTGACATCAAAATTGTTATAAGCAATGATCATTTCAAGGAGAAAACTTAGGCTTCTTTTCTCTTTGGGTATGATTATTTTTTTAATTTGACTATCAATAATGATATTGTTAGGAAGAAGTGGAGCTCAAGCAAGAATCAAGCAATGGCAACAGCTAGCTTCTCCTTTTGACCCGGCTTCATTACTAGACCTTGGGATCTCCGTTTCTCTTGACAAAATAAAGAACATGTAATTTTTCAAGAATTAATATTGATCTTTAGAGGTCATGAATTCAAGCAGTTGCGTTTGTGGATGTATGTGCATTATTAATAGTAAGAAAGATTCTGAACAACTATTATATTGTAATCACTATAGATTATCTAAAAAATAATAATAATTTGCATTATGACTTACTCGACATAATGATAAAATTAACCCCCCAATATTTACCTAAATAGTTACTTTGGTTCCTATTTTGTTTAGAGCATTTTAGCTTTTAACGTTTTAATTTTTAATCAAAATAATTCATATCGGATGAAAAGAGCTAGTTGACTAATTCTTAATGCATATTACTGACATTCTCACACAAGCTTAATGATGAAATGTAATATATCATATTATCTAAAATGATGGTATGACATATGTCATATTATTTAAAATAATAATATAATAAATATCACGTTAGTAATATATATTGATTGTTAACTAATTAACGATTTTCATGTAACATGAATTATTTTGACCAAAAAAATAAAATGATAAAAGTAAAATACTATAAAGAATAAGAATAAAAAAATTATTTAAATAAACGTATACTATCTAATTTTATCATTATACCTTAATTTAACTTGAATTGCCCGAGTCTCAGAAATACAAACTATGAAAGTAGTAACTAAAACCAGCAAAATTAACCATTAATTGTTATTATACTGTGTCTGCATCAGCCCACCAATAGAAAGACAAAGACAAGACAGATGTCAAATCTACCCAACTCACCCACTGCCAGGCCACATAATACATCTCATGTACTTCATATCTTACTATGAAAGTAGGACAAATACCTAACCAACGCTCCTCAGTTTTGCTTTAGACCAAAAATATACTATGTTGAGTCTTATTGACAACAGTCCTCAAGAAGAAAAAAAAAAAAGAAAGAAAATGAAGAAAAAAAGAGAGAAGATAAGATTTTATATAAATTTAAAACGACGTCGTTTTGATATATATTTTGTTTTTTTGAAATGATATCGATTTGGTGTCATATGTTATATCATGATACCATCTTAACGATGAAATAACAAATTAGTAATTCGAAAGGTTAGTAATTAAATTAAAAAAATTTAAACTTTAATAAGCAAAATAGGAGTGAGTAAGTTTGAGTGATGAAATTTTTAATTCACCCAAAGTGTAGTATCTATTTTATAACTTTTGAAAGCTTAATGACTAAAAGATCGTTTGTGTATTTTATTATTATTATTTTGAATTGCACGTATATTGAATGTTTTCATTATTTGGAAAAAAATACCAATTTATATGATTTAAGAAAAAAAAACTGAGAAACAAACATTATCAAGTATCACTGATGTATTGCTTCATGAAAAATGAGAAGTTAGTTCAAATTTTAGTAAACAAGAGAATATTAAATTTTAGTAAACATTATTTGTTTTTTGTTGATTCCTTTTATATAAATTATTGAAATGTTATTTTTTAGATTTAAAGAGAAAGTTTAATAATATTATCCGATCTGACTATCTTATTAATTTTTTTAGGTTTAAGGGTCACTTTTGTCTTGTAGTAGATTCAATTTATCATTTTTCGTTCCTATCGTATTTTCGCATCAATTTAACTATTAAAGTTGTTTAATTACATCATTCTATACCCTACTCCTAACTTAAAATCCTAAATTGATAACCCTAAAACATAACCCATCATCTCTAACTTAAACGCCTCAATTTTAAGTGAGGGGTATGATATAGAATGATGCAATTGAACAACTTCAAGGGTTAAATTAATAAAAAAAATAATAAGGATGAAAATGATAAATTACGTCTACTACATAAGCATAAGTGACTCTTTTACTTTTTTTTTTAATATGAACAAATTAATAATGATTAACCTATCAAATTTGTAGAATAGGTATAATACAAAATGAAATGAAAATCTTTACAGGATTGTTATTATTGTTATTAAACATAATCAAGTTGTCTATAATTGACTGAATCAAACTTACGGTCATGACTTTCTTATGACACCAAGGAAACCAAATGCATATATCTATATTTAAATAAATTAATAGAGATTAGAAATTTAAATTCTAAGTTTAATTTCAAATGAACTCTTTAATGCATGTATATTCAAATCTATATATATTAATTCCATTAATTATTATATATATATATATATATATATATATATATCCAGTTACACAATGTAAAACTTTTTAGTTTTAAAAAAATTTACACAAATTTAAGATAATTAGATAAATAAAAATAGATGACCGAAATTAACTCATTTTTTTCATCAAAATATCTTCTTATGTCTTATTGTTAAGCTTAATCATCTATTTTAACTCACTTAAAGGTTTTAAATATGTGTAAAACTAAAAAAAAATTTACCTTATATCTATATGGGTAAAGTATAGTAATGGTCACTGAACTTTTCTAAAGTTTTATTTAGGTCCCCCAACTTTTAAAACTTACAATACAGTCCTCCAACATTTAGTCTGTTTGCAATATGATCCCCGTCGTTACACTGTCGTTAGTACGTTTGCAATATGGTCAATAACTTTTCAAACGCTTGCATTTAGGTCCCCAACTTTTAAAACTTACAACATAGTTCTCAATTTAATTTTAATCGTCAAATTCCTTTTTGATCTTAAATTTCCTTTTTCGTTTCTCTCTTCTCATTTCCAGCGTAACTTTTCAGTCGGAGATGCACGAGAAATTCTAATCTAACTTTGAATTATGTTGAGGTGTTGACTCGAATAAGGGTCCATTGAGAGAATACCCGACCAAGGGACTATCAGGACAATCAACAATTCAAGGTGTAGTGTTAGATACATGTCATCTCAAGTGAAGCATAGATGTTCAATGAAATGCTTGTGAGAAAAAAATGGGGTTAGAAATACATAGTTGAAAAATACTACTAAGATGAACTAAGTATCATTGTTGAAAGTCACCAACAAAGCTGAAATTATTTTGTATAAATGGCATATAATAATTTATTCGTTTGATCCTTGTGATTAAAGATTTTCCAACAGATGATCAAATATAATGAAATCCCAAACAGCGTATTAACCTCTCAGTCTCTTTCGCTCACTGCACTCTCGTTTGGTTTTTGTTCTTCAATTTTCCGCCATGTAAAATTGTAAACCCAAGCAGTGCTTTGTCTTTCAGTTTTTTATTTACAAAGAAAAAATGGAGGAAGAATTGCTAGAACGCAACACCGATTGCGTTTATTTCTTAGCATCTCCCCTCACTTGCAAGAAGGTATTTGTTTTCTCTTTTGGGCTATCCGGAAATAAGCTTTTCCTCTTTCGCACTTTCTCATTTTCAGCTCTCATTGTGTGTTTTTTGTTGATTTTTTTTGTTTCTGGAACTGCATGTCAATGATCTGGATATCCAATGTTAGTTTTGAACCAAAACATCTAATTTTCTTTCTTTCTTTCTTCTTAATCAAAACTTTTAGTACTCCTTATGAAAGATATTCAGTCCATCAGAATAGAAGTGAAAGAGGATCCTATTCTAATTTTTTATCTTATTGTTTGGTTTTTCTTTAAATCAGGGAATTGGTTGTGAGTATCGACATAGTGAAATCGCCAGGCTCAATCCGAGAGACTGCTGGTACTAGTTTTCTGGGAATTGTATTGATCCGACCTATGGTTTTCGGCATCCTGTGAGATCGTATTCTTTTTAATAAGTTCACGTTGATTATGAGACTGATATATCGTGAACGAATTTGATTTTTTTACATGTTTTGAAAATTGTACAGTTGAAT